GCAGACCCCACACAGTTGGTGCAGAACAAAGTGGGTTTCACAGCCCAGATCCCCAGCAGTGCCAAATCGGGTGGCATTTTGTATAATGTGGCAACAGCTATGGGACTGAAACAAAAGCAGCAAGCTGCATATGCACTTATCTGGGAGCGAACATATATCTTGCTTAGCGTGTTGCACCAGCCCCACAGGGAAAACAGTACCAATGTGGCATCCTACAGGTTCCACCCAAAATAGGTCTGGGTAGCCCCCAGACCTAACTGCCCAAAGAAATCCACCAGTGGCACATCAGGCACCATTTTGTACAACGTGGCAAACGCTTTTAGATGAGGTACAACAGTGAGCTGTGCATGTGCTAAACTGAGAGTGAATTCACTTCCAGCGAAATGCATTGCACTGGTCTCATTGCGGAAATAGTACTGATTCTGGCATCTTACAGCTCCCATCCAAAATAGATTTGGATAGCCCTCAGACCTAATGGCTAGCAGGTTCCAACAAGATCAGCACCACCAACAACCTGGTTATTTAGGACACCTTTTATCTCTCTAATACTGGGAACTGCTTGAACTGGAAGTGGGAGAAAGATTGTACAGACAATGGTGCAGCCATAGCACAGGATCACAAAATGTGCAGAGTGGTGATTCAGGACCTAAGACTACAGAAACTGTGGCAGAAAAGGCTAACACAAGAGCCCAAGTATGAAACTCACCGGAGAGAGTGGTACAGTGACTCTAAATGAAGAACTAGAGTTCAAATACAATCAGTAAAATTGAACTGTAGACCTGTGGGTGTCACAGCTTAGAAAGCTGCCCTAAAGAGAAGAGCCTGATAACCAGAAATACAATGACTAAGAGAAAAAGGAAAAACAGAGGCATAATGAATATTGCTCAAGATTCCCCTGAAAAGGAGCCAAAGGCTTTGCCAACCTCAGAGTTTACTGAGGAAGACATCAAGGAAATGGGTGATATACAATTCAGAAAACTTGTTCTAATGTTTCTTATCAACAAGAAGCACACACAGAAGTTCCAGGAATATGTCACACAGAAAACAGCAACTCTAAAACAAAATTAAACAGAATTATTAGAAATGAAGAACACAGTGGACCAAATTAAAAACTCAGTGAACAGTCTCAACAATAGAATGAATGAAGCAAAAGAAAGAACCTCAGAATTGGAATATATTTCTTTCTACAAGGGGGATACAATCAAAAAGCTGGAAATAGAGTTGACGTAAGCCAAAAAACACATTCAAGAATTAAAAGAAACTTGTCAAAAGCCAAATATAAGAGCCATGGGAGTTCCACAAGAATCAGAAAGAGAAGCTGGATTTCAAAATATATTCAATGAAATATTAAATGAAAATTTCCATAATACGGAGAAAGACTTGGAAAACAGAATACAAGAGGGGCACAGAACTTCCAACAGAAATGACCAAAAGCAATCTTCACCATGACACATGATAATCAGGCTCTCTTCAGTTGAACATAAGGAAAAGATCCTGAAATATGTGCATGAAAAAAAAAATGAATTCGCTTTTAGAGTAACCCCAATCAGACTCACAGCTGAGCTCTCAGATAAAACTCTACAGGCCTGAAGAGAATGATGTGACATATTCCAGATTGTAAAGATAAAAAATTGTCAGCCCAGTACAACGTACACAGCAAAGCTTTCCTTTGTTTTGGAAATGAAGCAAAATTCTTCCACAGTAAAGAAAAGCTCAAAAAATATAGTTCTTCTAGACCGGTTCTAAATATTATACTTAAAGATTTTCTCTTGACAGAGAAAAGGAATAGCACATAAAAAAATCAAATACAAATGTGGAAAATATCCAATTTAAATGACAACAGAACACTAAATTAACCAATAAAAAACCATTGCCAAAATGACAAGACATAATTACCACCTATTCATATTAATCCGAATGTAAATGGATTAAACTCATCAATCAAATGTCATAGATTAGTAGCCTGGATGAAAAAGCAAATCCTTCAGAAGACACAGCTCACCAACAAAGATCAGAGGAAATTATATCTCATGGATTTCAATGTTTTTGTTTTTACTTTCATTTCTTCAAAACAGTCTTTTTTTTTTTTTCCTTAAATTAAATGTTACATTAGTAACATTTTCTTCAAGAAGGTTCTTGATTTTCTTTTTCATTTCTTCAGGAGCACTTTACTCATTCAGTAGCATGTTATTTAACCTCATGGCATTATAAATTTCTGTTTTTCTTCCTGTTGTTTTTATTTTTGTGGCTTTTCACGTAACGGGATGTGTAATATCTGTGTAACTGTATTCAGATGTGAGGATACAATGCAATATTCATCTCTATTGTTAGATAAAAGATGACTCCAATGAAACTGAAATATATCTTGACAATATGAGGCTGGACTCTCTGTCATTGTCCATGCCTGCAGTATCAGGATACTCTTAAATAGCAGAATTATGTGGTTATGATCATTTATGAAAGATTATGCTATTTAATAATAACGGGGAAATCAGTGTAGGGGAGGGGATTTGAAGAGGGAGGGAATTATGGAAATCCCAGAGTCTATGGACCTGTATCATAAAATAATAATAAAATGAAAAAAATGTATTCAGAATATTGCTTAAAGGCTTTTAGCAGATAGAACAGAAGAAACTCAGTAACTAATGTGGTGAGCCCATAATAAAATAGATATAAACATTCTAGACATGCACAGTGAAAAACCACACAGCCTTCCACCAGCTGAAAATGTTTCTATTAAGTACATTTCCCAGTGTTTATGCTAAAGCGCTTAGCATATATGTGTAACTGTAGGCCATGGCTTAGATTCTGGAGCCAAACTGGTACAGATGGAATCGTGGCCTGTTACTTCATAACTGTGTGACCACAGGCATGCTTATTAGTCTAACTGAAGTCCCTTTATTATAAGTGCACCAGGGCTTCACCTTTATAACCCATTCACTTCCCAAAGACCCACCTACAAATACTGTCACACTTGGAGGGGTATGTTTCAGCTTGCAAACTGGGAAGTCAGGCAGAGGGAAGTGACCATTACCCCAGTCAAGGAAGCACATTCCATACTCCAATATTTCTGTGGTTGCTTTCCTCCTCCTGACCCAAAATTCCTGCCTCCTTAAACAATGAGTATACTAATCTTTCCCATTAAACATTGCCTAACCTTGAGCTTCTTATAAATGAAATTATGTGGCATATTCAGTTTTGTTCATTTAACATTCTTAATATTCATCCATGTAGTACATGGACTCATAGTAACAGTTTCTCTTTTTCACCTCATGCATCAAATTGAACTGTGAGAATACCCTACACTTTTAAATGTCTCCTCTCCTTAACAGACATTGAATGGTTTCCAGTTTAGTGTATCATGTATACTGTAGTTAATATAGACATATATGCTAATATTTCATAAGCATATGTTCATTTTATGTACTTGAATGTCAGAATTACAGAAAGAGTGGAGAGACAGAAAAATCTTTCATCACTGGTTCAGTCCCCAAATGAACCCAATAGCCCAAGATGTGCTGATCTGAAGCCAGGATCCAGGATCCTCCAGATCTCCTACATGGGTGCAAGGGCCCAAACACTTGAGATTCCCCCTAATCCCACCCCACACCCTTCACTGATTGCCAGCACTTCTACTCAGTCCATGGACACTCCCAAACTGGGAAGTGTACTCAGAGGAAAAGCCATGCAAAGGTTTTCTTACACCTTCTGCTTGCATTTTGTACTTTCAGGTGTGCTTAAGTATCAGTATTTTTCCTACCATTTATGTTTTGTTATAAATGTTAGGTTTGATAAAACACAACTTTTAATTTGTTTTTTTTTTTTAATGATTATAATCTCCAGGACCCTGCATACTCCATACTTTATCTTAAGGTTACAAAATAATTTAGGTATTAAATCTAAAGATCACTTTCTCCATATCTTACAGGTCAGAGGAGGTGCAAAAATAAAATTCAACCCACACCATAACAGTTACTGCTTCATTTATTATTTTCATCTTTTATTTAAAACAAATTGCCTATAGATTATTGACCTTTTTTATTCGCCATCCTTTTGGTGCTCCAAAACAGTAAGGACTCTCACCAACAGAGGCAAGCAATGGCTGATGATATGAGAAAAACAGTATCAGAAGGAGAGGGAGAAAAGAAGAGATGGTAAAAAGAAAAATAGAGAGGAAATATGAATGCAATTGACACACATCTGGAAGTAAAAGTTGTCATTTTTCTAATATCTCCTGGTTGATCCTCCAAACAAGAAATTTTCTGGTGTGATTAAGCATACTTTGTTTCAGTTCTTGAAGGATAGAAACTGGGCATAAAATCAACTGCCACTAAGGCAGTAGCTTTCACAATCTAGCAGACTAGAGAATCACAAAGGGCCTTCTTGACTGTGGAGTCTCTGTGTGGGTATTTCTGGTGTCTGCTCTGAGAATCTGAATTAGTGTCAAGTTCTCAGGGGCTTATATTCCTGGTGTGCAGATGACAATCTGAAAACTATCATGTAAAGGCAGCCCTAGCTTCCACTGCCTATTTTTGTCTTAAAATGGAGTCTCTTTATAATCTTGCTTTTGCTACGCTCAAACAGAATCTGTTAACAGAGGTATGGTGCTGGATCAACTGAGATGCATGATAAGGAATGCCAAAAGAGAAATGGTCTTAATGAAACTACTTTAAAATTTGTGGGGATATGTTTGCCCACAATGGAATTCTGGTAGGAAAATAATATTAGTTATCTCTGAGAGGAGCAGAGAAAACAACGCAGCCAAAATCATGATGCCACAAAGAATGTATTGTCAGTGTTCCAAATATTATTTTCTCCTGGTAAATATTTGATACAATGAAGCTACTATTATTTTTCTGCAGTGTGTTCTTTTGTCAGTCTAGAATCACAGCTGTGCATTTATTCACCTGAGTGGCTCGCCTGGAAAAAATCCTCAGAGAAACATAATATGAAAATGAGTGTGTGTGAATATGTTTGATGTTTATTTAACTCTTTTATAGGACTGCATCAAAACATGTAAATAAGGACCTAGGAAATTTGGAAGAAAACAAAAAATTAGAAGAAAACAATCACAAAACGGAAGCCTAAGAGAGATTCTGTAGTAGTTGTCCAGGTGAGTAGGATATTTGAGGTTTATAGATGTAATTCCTAGGGATGTGAGAAATGTCCTAGCAGAGACCAGGGAAAGTCTTAACATTAAACACTTTATAATTAAAACAAAAGAGAATGATTAAGAAAATAACTTCACTGTCTCAGAAAGTTTCCTTCAGATGGATTTTCACCGGGTAGCTTTGCCCAAATAACATTACCCTCTGAATAATAAAAGTTATTATTTTAGCACTCAGCATTTGTTTCTAATAATCAGTTTTACTGAGTAGAAGCTTTATTGTATGAATCAGCATTTGGGTTCCATAACAATAGTAAATTAAATTTTAAATAACAATGAGGCTAATATAAAAATCTAAAAATTATAATCAGGCATTTGAAATATATGAATATGTTTATATATATCCCAAATCATTTCAATGAAAATGTTGACAGGCTTTTTGTATGTAGATACACTCACATATAGTTATAAATAGTGTACATGTATACATCCATATATGTATGTGTATGTAATATATGTGCTAATGTTTGTTGATTATATATATTTATATATAAGAACTATAAGATTGAGGATTTTTAATATAATTTAAAAAGCAGATGTTCAAATGGTATTCTTGCAGTTTGAGCTGTCTCTGTTCATTGCTGCTCCATAGATTCCAGCAGCCTAGGCATTAGGACACATTTTTCCTGTCCTTGAGAATATCTGTTATTGTGCCTTCCCAATGTGATGCAAAAGGACATCAACAGCTACAATATTACCTGGATTCCTTATACACAAACCATAAATTAACATGGGATTAGGTCATCAGTGTTATATACCAGATAAGGATAAGGACTGTGTGAAATAATAATATCTGGAGGAATACACACAAGAGAGAAAAATGTACTGGAAATTAAGACCTATTTGTAAAGTATGAAAATCGATTTCTCACGTTGGGAGAAAGCGGTCCAAGCTGGATGCGTTCTGCTTCTCTGCCTTCCACTGGAGGCTGCTGAGGCAGCAGAGCACACGAGTCCGTGCCCGGGCTCTAGGGTTGCTTCCCACTCCTTTGCAAACATGGATTTTTACCTTCTATTTTCTTCCAAAGTAGATACAATGAATTATTACATATAAATAAAACAACAACAAATACCATAGAGTATGGTTTTAAAAAGTGAATGTATGTTTAACATAAAGAGAAATGAAATATCTTCACAGAAAGATTCATACTTTCAGCATGAATTAGTTTCTACAAAAAAAAACACCATCAACAATTCCATAATATTACACATAGAAAAGGGTGCAGTGATGCCTAATATTACAGGAACAATGGAGTTTTATCAAAGGCTCTTTCTATAACATTATCCCTGTATCTCTTAGGACAAAACATCCATTGGGAGTGGAAAAGGATTGCTATGGTAACTTATCTAAATTTTATTTCTTTCATTGTTGCAGAGAAAAAAACATATAGACCAACTGAAGCATGAACGTGGATTGTATTTATGACATAAACGAAGACATTGACAGCAATTCGTGGTTCAAGTACTAAGCAGTTCACTCTACCAAGCTGTCACAGGATTTTAGAGAATTATCTCAAGTAAAACAATGAAACGAAATCACAAACAGTGACAACAAATTTTGGCAGCCATGATAATAGGTCATATGTTGTGTTTGGTTTGACTTTTCTTTTTCTGTAAATGTCTGCACTGAGGATTTCTTTTTGGTTCGCCTTTTATGTAAATTTTTTACGTAGCTATTTTTATACACTGTAAGCTTTGTTCTGGGAGTTGCTGTTAATCTGATGTATAATGTAACGTTTTTATTTCAATTGTTTATATGAATAATCTGAGCAGGTACAATTCTGATTCTGATTGCTATCAGCAATGCCCCCGACACTCTCTCACAAGCACCTGAAACCCAAAGGTGGCAGCTTGTGAAGACTGAGTACACACACATTGCCCTATTCAAACACTGTTGTTGCTGTTGTTGTTTTAACTAGGGAGGGGAAGCCAGAGTCAGGCTGATAGCAACATCACAGCTGATTCTGTGTGTGTGCCAGCAGCTGACTCTCACAGGAAATCACAGGTTCTTGTGAACCCACTCACCTGCTGATGGAACTCCCATGCTGACGGTTTTGCTGATTCCGACAGCTGTAACAAAGAATTTGGGTAGTGTTTACCTTTTCAGAGAATTTGATAATAAATTATTTTCTGTCAAAAAAAAAAACCAATATGTAAGAGAAAGTTTGGAAACATCATGGATAGCATCCACATGTGCATAAACAGCAATGTAAATCACTGTAATTAACAATTGGTATTAAATCCTTTGGGTTGTCCACTGCCTTAAAATTATACCTATTTCTTTTAGAAAAAAATAAAGATATCAGTCAGAATTGGAGATTTTTAACAGTGGCCATTATCAAAGCTGTGTTATTTTCCACAGAATATAGAATATATATTTTTTTCGTGTGTGTTTTTGTTAACTAAGCTATGGATATTGAATGCACCTTGAGATAATTTAGTGTTTTTAACTGGTACATAATTTATCAAGCAGTACATGAAAGTGTAATAATAAAATGTCTACGTATCTTTAGTTACATTCAAATTTGTAACTTTATAAACATGTTTTATGCTTGAGGAACTTTTTAGGGTGGTAGTATAAATGGAACTTTTTGAAGTAGATTGGATATGGGCCAATAGCTACATGTGACTAGACTTTTAAACTTTGCTCTTTCAAGCAGAAGCCTGATTTCTGGGAGAACATTGCACAGCCATTTTTATCCCAGAACTTATCCTAAAGAAAAGAAAATGAATATCAGCTTTCCAGGTATAGAACTATGTTCTTTGAAAGAAAAAGGAAAACTGGTGTTTGTTTTCTACACTTATGGAATAAAAGATTATGGAGGCAATGAAAAAGTAATTGATGACTAAACTCAAATGGAGAGGGGGATAATAGCTTGCCACTTCTGCATTATTTATAAACACACGTTATTGTAAATTTGCAAGCCGTCTATTGTCTAAGCAATAGTGACTCGGTTTAATACAAGCTTCCTGTAGTGCATTGGTATGAATTAAACGCATAAAATGTTCTATTAGAATCACTGTATAAAATATTATGGGAACAAAAGAAATTATGTTATTTTGCCTCTAAACTTTGATTTATTGAAGTTTTATTTGGCAAGAAATAATTCAAACTTGGTCAATATTTAAACCAAAGTGAAAGGGGAAAAACCAAAGTTATTTGTGTTGCATGGCTAAGCCATTCTGTATCTGTAAATACTGTGGATTTTTTTTTTTTAGAATTTTGTTAAAGAAATTCTAAAATTTTTAAGCACCTGCTTTCCACAATAAAGCATAAACACTAAAATGAAGTTCCTTCCATAGAAATTTATTTTCTTTTTTCTTTGGTGTGGGAGATCAAAGGTTTAAAGTCTTACTCTTAAGATATATTTGCAGAAAGAAGCGAGTGACAATGGAAAGAAGTATATACAATTATGTCTTTGTTTCCACTTGCAATGACTACCCAAGTCCAAACAGGTGTCTGGACCCAGAGAGCCACAAAGAGGAAGCTCAAATCTCTGGACCAAAAGCAGAAAGTTTGCTGGGAAAAACATGGGTGACATTCTTGCCGTTGAATCCATGCCTGGATGAAGAAGAAAGCTCACCTGTGCAGCAGCAGTAGTCCAGGGAAAGGATAATTCAGTCTTCAACTTGGAAGGTTTTGTCTCTCCAAGGTAACTGGGGCAACAGGAGACACATGTTGCCAGTTCAAGGTTCATTCCGTATATGTGATCATAGGAATTGTATGTGGAAATGGATTAACATACCCGTCTATGCCTAAAAGATAATAAAACTGAAATATGTCTTCACAAATTTCATGGTTGTCTGTTTCTTATTTAATCAGAATGTTAGAGAATAGGAAGCTGTTGTATTTCTTAGATAATGAAAAACTCATTGTGACTCTCTGGAGAGGCAATGCAAAAATGAAAATAACAACAGCAAAATAGAACTGTCCCTGCCTCCCACCATGTCCAGTGGGCTGTCTCGGCTAGCCCTCAAGTTTAAGCAGCGATCGGTTCTAGTCTCTATCTTCAGCAATTGGAGATTGCATCATACTTACTGTCGGAATCCCGTGTAACTGCTTCAAGACCTCAAGCAAGAGGATACTTTCACACTTTTTCACTTTTGCTGAAAACATAGGGTTGACAGCAATATTTAGAATTACTAGGCCATGAGTCTTGCAAACATGTTTCCTTCAAGGTTAAGCCAGCTGTGTACTTCAAAAAAATCATGTATAGATATCCCCGCAAACTAGTGGTTGAAAATAGAGTTCCATAGTTTCCAATAACATGTTGCTTTGAAGTAGTTGAAAATGACATGGTCTGATTGCGTGCCCAAATCTGCTATAATTTCCAAAGTTCCTCTGAAAGAATACTCCTTTTCCTAATTTATAAAATTAGAAAATATTGATACATGTATTGGTTATATCATTGATAAAAGATAATTCCAAGGTGTAAAAACACATGATAGGCCAATATTGAATAATTCTTCCTACCATGTAGGGACTAAATGTATTAGACTTTTTGTTTAGGAAAAATGTATATGTATATATATATACAGATGCATATATCACATTACAAAACATTTCAAACACACATAAACTGCTGTTATATCCAGTGCAGATTATATGACATTGTTTTAATGTATTATTTCCAAAATTTCAGTGACTTCTCTCATTATCTGGATAGCTAAGGTCTTATCCTAATTTTAGATATGAAGGTAATGAAAATAAGTTTGTCTACCACTACAGATACACTGAGTGTATGAGTCAGGACTCATGCTGAAGATCTGTAAAATCTGAACTATTTCTTTACTGTCTATCAGCTCTATTACATACGTACGCATCTGTCTGTGCTTGGAGAGACTGTCCAAAAATACAACAGCATTGAAAATCATTTTTGTTGTTTTAGAAACTAGTGCCATTCATATCCAAAGTAATATATGAATTCAGAAGCTCAGAAAACACAC